TCCGACCCCCCATGGAACAACTGGGTCAAAAGGGGCATAATCAGGGTCAAAGACATCTGGGACTCAGAAAACAAGGGTTGGAAATCAGCGTCACAAATGAGGACGCTACTAAAACACTGCCACAACTTAGAAAATGATTTTGAAAGGCTGATCTTCGCCATCCCCCTGGACTGGGTGCGCATCCTGCGTAAGGGACCCAAGTTGAAGACAGGGGACTGGGCAATGGTCCCCGGAGATCCAGAGAGTGTGGGAAAGGTTGGGGAACACGCACGGAAGAATCGCTGATCAGTCTCTTTCACAAAGAGAATGACAACAAATTAACTAAACGGGCCCCGGACGCGCCGAGATGGTGCCGAAGCTCTGATCTGTGCAGAATCCGGGATCTGGGTGACAAGGACTGCATAGCATACCAGCCGGGGACCTGCATCGCGGACCTCCCCTTCGATCCGGAGGAGTGGCAATGGCCCCCCACGCGCAGAACCCCGAGATCACAGAACCGGAAATTCCACGGCCTGACAGTGAAGGCCACTTATCGTTTGCTGCGCCCTAGGGTAAATCTGAAGGATATTGTAAAAACCCGTTGGAGATCCCATTTGAATGTTGGGGCCGAAGCCATCCGCCCCATCCGATGGTTCTCCCTCACAAGGGCCAAACCTGCAAAGCTGGCCTTGCTGCAGTGGCAGATAGAACACCGCTGCCTCCCCACCAATGATTGGCTAATAGATCGCACTTACCTGGAACAAAAAGGGCTGGCTCTCCCGTGGTGCAAATCGTGTCACACGGCGTTCCCCTCCCGGAAGATCCCGGAAACCATAGAACATATTTTCTTGCAATGCCCGGGGTCTGTTCTTACATGGCGATGGTGGGACAGAGTTTGGAGTCTGCTGTACACCGAGACAACCTGGCCATGGGACTGGAGGGCGATACTGTGCGAGACATGGACCTCCCCCACATCTTGTACCTTTGAGGAGAACATGTTTAAAATAGGGAGGAGGGCGGTTATGTGGGCGATCTGGAGGAGACACTGCATACACGCCATGGAGGGAGTCCGTATAGCAGGGGAGGAAACCACAGACATGATTAAACAATTCATACATCAAGAACTAATGACGCAATGGCAGAAGGTCAAGTGTCAGCAGGATCTGTTCCAAACAAAAAGAGAAATAAAACAAAAAATCCAACAATTTTCGGGGGACTGGTTGGGCGGCGAGAACGGCGGCCGAATTGCCTCCATCAAATGGGAGGGCGGCCAAACCCGGGAAGGCGAAGGAGACAATCAAGACGGTAACCGGGAGCCGACCAGGAAGGACTATCAGATCTGTTTCAAAGATAGGACAACGGTGGGCCAAGAGGTTCCGTTGCGGCCACCCGCAGACTTTCCCGACCCCTTCCCCCCTCATCAGCTGGCTGTGGTGGACATGCAATGGTACAGAGCAGAGTAAGCAAGACTGCAACGTAGGGGAGGGACCAGCCTGTGTACGCAGATAGCTGGCGCCCGCCATGGGGTGAAGAGGCTCCTCCCTGTTCCGACACAACCTGCTCAACTTGTCTATGACAAAAGGTGTCATTTCATGGGTCTACCTTGGTAGCGAGTACATACAGTTGTATTAAATGATCCTGGTCGTGTCAGGGTGGGCAGGTTCAATGGCTTCATATGAACTTGCAGTTTTTGATCTGTCTGATCCTATTTTAGATCCTATGTGGCGGCAAGGAATGTTTGTAATTCCCTATCTTAGTCTGTGCTTTCACTCTGTGTATGGGACGTTAGACCCGATTAAGGGGGCTGCTGAGACAGGGCTGGGTCACTAGATAAGGGGTGCTCCTAAGAAGGGATGGGTGACATTAGCAGCTCCACGGGATAGTGGAGGCCCAAGCTGAGTTTGAATTGACCACAGCCCCTCGGAACAACAAACAGCAATCTTTGTATTGTACGATGTATCAAAGGGACGCTGGACCCGGTTTCCAGCAGGTGCTGCTCCCCACCAATAGATGGAGCCTCCTCGACGGTGCTAGATGTGTCTGCTCTTATCAGCACACCTAGCATCCGACCGGGTTGTTCTCAAAAAAAAAA